CCCGAGCCCCCCCCCAGCTCCTCTCGGGGCTCCCCCGCCCCCTCCATTCGCTATTTGGGGGTGTGTGGGGGGGGTGGGTTTATCTTTTATAGCGCCGCGATGAAATTTGGGGAGGGGGCACAACCCCCCCTTGGGGTCTCCCCCCCCTCCATCCCTCTGCCTCCTCACCCCCCCAGCCCTTCTCCTTTTAATCCCCGTTTCCTTGGAACAATGGGATCTCTGTCTCCCCCATCGCACCACGTGGATCCGCCTTTTTTTTTTTTTAAATCTTTTTAAGCCCCCCCCCATCCCTTTCCCCCTCCTCCTCCTCCCCCCGAGCCCCCTTTTGACCCCCCCATTCCAAACCTGATTTTTAGGGCGAAAGGTGCAGCATAAAGAAAGCAACAACTCGGGGCCTTTGCACTATTTTTGGTGGTGGTTCCTGTTGCAGGAAAAAAAAAAAAAGGTAATTTTTTTCTCTTTTTTTTTTTTCTTCTCTCGCTTTTTTTTTTCCCCCTCTTCCCCTTTTCCTCCCTGAAATCCCACCCACCAGATCCACTTAAAATGTAAATATGAGCCTCCCGAACAAATGGGACAATACAAAACAGAAACACATGGATGGGCAGGAAAAGGGGAAAAAAAAAAAAAAGAGGAAAAAAAAAATTATCCATCCTGTGTTGAAGAGGAAGAGGCTGCGAAGTCCAGCTCCATCTTTAGGGCTGGAAGACTCCGGGAGAGCAAAGAATTCCTGGAAGGGATTCCCCTCCTGCGTCCCTTGGTGCTGAGGGGGAATTTTTGGGGATGGGAGATGAATGAACTGTGGAATTTGGGGAATTTTGGAAGGGAAATGCGCTCGTTGGCCTTGTTGGAAAGAGGGGTTGGATTTTTTGGGGTGGAGGAAAAGTGTATTGTGTTTATTGGAAAGGGGTTTTCCCCAGGAAATCAATGCCCGTAGTGCCAAGGATTTTTTCCCCCTAAAAATGTAAATGCACATATTACAAAGGGCTTCCCCCCCCAAGTTAAATGCACCTATTGAAAAAGGGATTCCCCCCCAAAATAAATGCAGATATTGATTTTCCTCCTCAAATAAATTATCTTACTACCACTATTGCAAAATGGATTTCCCCCCAAAATAAATGTCTGTATTGCCAAGGATTTTTTCCTCCTAAAAATGTAAATGCACATGTTACAAAGGGCTTTTTCCCCCAAAAAAATTAAATGCACATATTAAAAATGGGATTCCCCACCCCCCCAAAAAATTAAATATATATATTGCAAAGGGGTTTTTCCCCAAAAAAATTTAAATGTACATATTACGAAGGGGTTTTTCCCCAAAAAATAAATACACATTTTGCCAAGGGCTTTTTTCCCCCCCAAATTAAATGCACCTATTAAAAAAGGGATTCCCCCCAAAAATAAATGCAGATATTGATTTTCCCTCTCAAATAAATTAACTTACTACCTCTATTGCAAAATGGATTTCCCCCCAAAATAAATGCCCGTATTTCCAAGGATTTTTTTTCCCTAAAAGAATGAATGTACAAGGGGATTTTTCGCCCCCCCCAAAATTAAATGCACATATTAAAAAAGGGATTCCCCCTCCCCCCAAAAATTAAATATATATATTGCACAGGGGGTTTTCCCCCTAAAAAAATTAAATGTACATATCACGAAGGGGTTTTTCCCCCCAAAATTAAATACACAGATGACAAACAAAATAACAAATATGTTAAAAAAGGGATTCCCCCCCAAAATAAATGCCCATATTGATATTCCCCCTCTAAATAAATTAACTTATTGCCTTGGTTGTAAAGTGGATTTCTCCCCCCAAAATTAAATGCACATATTGCAAAATGTGTTTTTCCCCCAAAAAATAAATTCACGTGTTACAAAGGGTTTTTTTCTATCCCAAAATATAAATGTACATATTACAAAGGGTTTTTTTTTTCACCCCCCCAAAAATTAATTCACATATTTCCAAGGATTTTTTTTGCCCCCCAAAATTAAATTCACATATTACAAAGGGATTTTTCCCCCTCCAAAATAAATTCTCATATTACAAAGTGGGTTCCACCCCCCCAAATAAATGCACTTATTGCCTTTGCTGTAAAGTGGATTTTTCCCCAGAAAATTAGATGCACAATTACAAAATGGGGTTTTCCCTCAGAAAATTAATTCACATGTTACAAGGGATTTTTTTGCCCCCAACCAGATTAAATTCACATATTAAAAAGGGGATTTTTCCCCCCAAAAAATTAAATACACATATTAAAAAAAGGATTTTCCCCCCCAAAAATTAAATGCACATATTAAAAAAGAGATTTTCCCCACAAAAAAATTAAATGCACATATTAAAAAAGGGATTTCCCCCCCAAAATAAATGTACACATTGTTGTTCCCCCCCCAAATAAATTAACTTATTGCCTTTGTTGCAAAGTGGATTTTTCCCCCAAAAAATTAAATGCACGTATTGCAAAGGTTTTTTTTTCCCCAAAAAATATACAGAGCTCAAGGGGATTTTTGCCTCCCCCAAATAAATAAATATATATATATATCTCCGAGGATTATTATTATTATTATTATTGTGCACAGATTTTCTTTATTGCAAAATCTTTCTCCCCCCAAGAAATAAATGCATTTATTACCTTTATTGCCATATCCCCCCAAATAAATTAACTTATTGCCTTCGTTGCAAAGTAGATTTTCCCCCCCAAAAATAAATGCTTACATTACAAAGGGGTTTTTTTTCCCCTCAAGAAATAAATGGACACGTTGCAAAATGGTTCCCCCCCGAAATAACCCCACATTAATCCTTTATATCAATAAATACATGGAATTAAATACACATATTTTTAAAGGTTTTTTTTTCCCAAAGAACGAATACAAATGTGGCATTTATTGCAATTCCCCCCCCCCCCAAAATATAAATTCACATATTGCAAAGGTTGGGTTTTTTCCCCCCAAAATAAATGCAGATATTGCCTTAATTGAATTTTTTCCCTAAAAATAAATGCCTTTATTGCAAATGTTCCCCCCCCACCAAAAAAAATCAATGTGCATGTTCCAAAGTGGTTTTCTCCCCTCAAAAAAATGCATTTATTGCAAAGGGACTTTTCCCCTCCAAAAAAAAAAAATGTACCTATTGCAAAGTGTGTTTTTCCCCAAGAAATGAATCCATTTGTTGCCTGTATTCCAAAGGTTTTTCCCAGATTAAGTGACCAAATTGCCAGGTTTTGCCCCCAAAAAGAAAGGCACTTATTGCAAAGTGTGTTTTTCCCCAAGAAATAAATGTTCATATTGCAAAGGGTTGGTTTGGGTTTTTTCCTCCCCCAAAAGTAAATCCAAATGTTGCCTTTATTACCATTATTTTCCTCCCCCCTCTTTTTTTTTTCACCAGGAGAAAATTCCCTTTATTACATCGAGGGATTTGCAGGAGGGGAACACGTGGTGCCTTTGGAATTTGTGATGAATTGGGAATATTTGTCCAATTTGCAATATTTGATTAATTTGCAATATTTGAGTGATTTAAAAGACATGATTTATTGAAAATATTTGATTGATCCTCAGTTTGGGATGGTGTTTTCCTCTCTGATCCCATTGCAGTATCCCATGGATTTCTGACGCAATCCCAAGTGCTGATGCAATTCTGGCACCTGAGCCCGCGGGATTTGGGGGCAAACCCACCCCAAAATCCCCCCAAAACACGGGCAAACCCTTGGAATTCAGGGAAACCACCTCCTGGGTGGGATAAAATCATCCCAAATTCCCGCATTACTCACGGAATTATCCCCGGAGCATCTCGGCTCAGCATCACTTCCAGGAGCAGGGCGGGAGAGTCGGGGTCGTTCAGGGATTTTCCATGATCTCTGGAGGGATGGGATGGAATGAAAGCCCTGCCGGGGCTGGGACCAGGCTGCTGATCCCTAAAAATGGCCTTTTTTCCCCCAAAAGGCCGCCCGGGTTTGTGGGGTGGGTGGGAACACTCCAGGCAGGTTGGGTCAGGCCTGGGCTCAGACTGGTTTGTCCTGGGCTTGGGAAAAACTGGTTTGACCTGTTAATTCCCAAGGGAGTCTGGAATGGGGAGAGTCTCACCTCGGATAACCTGGGCCTGGCTCAGCTCTCCCCAATCCCAGATCCACGGGGGGGATCCCTGGGTGGGATATTTGGGGTATCCCTGGGAATGAAGATGTTTGGGGTATCCCTGGATGGAATGTTTGGGTTATCTCTGGGGATGGGGATGTTTGG